ACACTCACCACGTGGCAAAAACATGGTATGCACAGGGTGCTTGAGGCTCAGGAAGGAGTGAACAAAAAATTGTCACAGGAGATTAGGTGAAGCCGTGTTATGAGAGCCTTGAAGAGCAGGCTCAGAGATCTAGGCAGAAGACATCACAGCTAAAGAGGGTAGCATGGCAAAGCGTGGAGGTGGGAATATGCATGTACCAAATGTCTTCAGGGACTGAGTAATTCCCTGTGGCTGGAGAAGAGGGTCACCCAGGGGAATTGTTGAGGAGTGAGCAAACAGGAGTGACTTGTTCTTCTCACTGCCTCTTCCAGTGGTCTTGCACTATGAGCTACTGGTTGCTTCCTTCATGGAACTCATCAACAAACCGCTCTTTTCTAAAAGATAGACTGTGAATGACTTGTTTTCCAAAAAGAATTGGAAGGACAATTTTTTTTTTTCAAGGAGCACAGAGTCCTAACACATGTATAGCATGATTTGCTTTGTAAATTTAGGATGGCAATCGACTCTCTCACCCATGTGGATCTTAAACAAATGATGTCTTCACTGGCTTGAGTGACACCTGCAGTGTCGCAAAGGCTTGTCAGACTTGTTTCTCTACCAAGAGGAATTTGCTTAAGAGGCTAAGGAGTCTGCTGAAATATAATGCTGATAAATACTATTTGCTTATGTGCTGAGTGTTAAGGAACTCGTTAACCATTGGTTTCAAGGAAGCAGTCTTCGAAGTGGTGACCCTTCACCGGCCTCTAACTAGAAAGATGAATTCACTGGAATCACATACATGGGCTCCGTGTGTATTCTCCTATGTAAGTTCTACTGGTCTCTGGAATTTTTTAAACTTCTTTTTATAACTCATTTTAGACACAGCGATGTTAAAAGAAAAAAAAAATAGTACCAGCGAAGCTGGCCTGGACCAATTGGCCCTTCCTAACACAAATATTAGGTGGTGAGTCAAGGTCACCCCTTCCTTGTACCTTTAAAATCTGAGGGCTGATTTCTATCTGCTGTTCTTGACAGGAGCGAGATAACAGACCATAGATAGTAGAGCCTGGGGACACCGTCATTTTTTGTAAGGCTCCCCTTTAATACTCAGAGGCTTCAACAGAGCAGCTACTTACTCAGAGATCTCCCAGTTACTTCAGGGCAGGGCAAGAACTGAGAAGTCAGATCTCTGGGCTGGAAATGTGAATGCTGTCTGCCATTCTAAGCTGGGCTTGGACACTTGAAACACAGAATCCCAGTTTCTTAGACTATAAAATCTAACTGGACTGCATGAATAGTCAGCCAGTCTCCAATCAGAACTTAAAAATCAGACTAGAAGAAAAGCCACAGAGAAGGACCTAGGTAGGCGCTGCTGGCGGCCAGGAGACCAGATGAACCATGTTAGTGTTTGAACATGAAAATTCTCCAGGAATGCTCTACACAACACACAGGGAGCAACAACAAAAAAACCCTACTTGAGAGTTTTAACAGAAAAAGGAGATTTGTTTATTAATAATTCATGAGTTCCCATTGAACATGCATGACAGAAACAGTGCTATTCAATAGAGAATACAGTCATCTGTCACTGTTTTATTTGACATTTACACTTTTTTTTTTTTTTTGCCCGATACTGCAAAACTTTCTTGGATGGCATGCAGAAATTATATAAATGAAGAAAAAAAAATCCCCACATAGGGACCCTTTATTTCTTCTGTGATGGGTTCACTCCCAGTTACACAGGTATGCGTCCATGCAAGAGCACGACACTTCTCTACACAATCATTAGCCACCACACAAGCAAATACGAGGCTCTGTTGAGAAAACAGACGCCAGTGTCTAAATGGCCTCCTGGAGGGAAGTTACGAACAAAAGGAGGATGGGTAGGATGGGAGGTGAGGAAGACAGCACACAACTGTGTGGAACAAGTGAGTCCAAGTGAGGAGACAGCCAATCATGGCTGCCGAGAAGAAAACTGGCCAAAACAAAAATGCATTGCCGTTTCAGATAAGAAATAAATATTTATAAATGGCATCGCAGGAGTCCTGCTGGTGGGAATATCAGCATTTTGTAGAGCAAATTAGAGTTAGGAGCTCCTCGCCACTCTGTGCTAGTGTGGGGCTCTCAACAAGCTTTCTGCTCTGTGGCTTAGTTATTATTTATAAAAATCACAGAACCAGCTGATACATTCATAAGCTAATTATTGAAGCAGCTGGGTACACATGGTGCAATATGGCCGAGGCTGTGAAGTATCACAGATTTCTTGGGGCCTGCTGCGGTGGGGGTGCGCTGTTGAAGGCTCCATCCCTTAATCTGATCAGCCAAGCAAACACTTTGTGGGGAAACTAGATTAATAACCCTCTAAATACCATGAATGTGCTTCATCCTCCAAACTGGGTTCCCTTAAACATGCCATTAGCTCAGCCCATCAGGGATTTGAGGAAGTTCTCTGCTGCCCTAAGAACAGGGCCTTGTTGGCCATATCCTTATGCCAGAAATTAATTTGGTTTGCTTATGTCTGCACACATAATCACACTTGTGTCTAATCCACTCCCTAATAGCTTCAAGGTCAAGACCTTGCATGTCAGTGGGCAAATTGAGCACCACACTTCTTAAAGACCGATGGCAGACAGCACACAGTCCATAACGAGCCTATAGTGTTGTTCTAAGTGATTGTAATGAGTGCAGATTATAACAGCGCATATAAATCAAATGTGGCAATGAATGTTGTGCGAGACATTCCAAGTGTCATAAGTGGAGATACCACTCAGCTGTCACCTGTCTTCTTTCAAGCAGCAGCTTCCCACAATGCAATTCATCCTTCAAGCAGAACAGCAGGTGCTGTCTTCCTTAAGGTCTGGCTATCTCCTAACTTCATCTTTTAACAGATGTAGGTTTTTGTTTTTATTTTCCACTCAGTGATTGGTCTCCATGCTACTGCCTCCCCTGGGAGATGTTAAACATACCTGTTTGAAACATTTGAAAGAGTTCACTAGAGACTTATTTGGTTCTGTCGAAAGACGCAGAAATGGGAGACTAATTTTTCCACAGATGGTTTATTTTCCATCCCAAGAATTCTTCCCTTTGTATAAAGAAACCCCCGAGAAAACACTTTGGGACCAAGAGATTTTTATTAAAGTATAATTTATTTTCTGGTAGTGATAAGAATTTATCTTCATTTTTCATGTGCATGGCACTTGAAAATTAACCATTACCTGTCTCTCGAGTTGAGCGGGGAGGGACTATAGAAATACTTGAGAAAACATTTCCAAGCAAATGATAAGATACCTTTTTTTCATTCTTCCTAACTCTCTAACTCTCCCAAGCTCCCAGTTTATTGCAAGAAAAGATCAGGTCTGCGCAAATGTGGCCTCTCACTTGTAAAAACAAGGCAGTGTTGTGTTACAGATTAGTTTATAAATCCCCAGTGGCTTCACAGTTCAGTGCCTACAGCTGCTGCACATGGGCCCGGGTTTTTGTCTCCTCTCGCTGCTGCAGCCGGCAGTTGAAGGGGAAAATGGAATGATCAGGTTATTAACATGGAGGCCGTGAGGAGGATACTGCACAATGGGAACAGCTGGTGTTGCTGTCTTGGCTGATGCAGCGGAGATAATCAAATCTTGCCTTTTTTTTTGTGGGTTAAAGGCAGAAGACACAGTGGAGAGTTAGACAAACAACAGCTTATGATATTATATAGGGTTTTTACGATGCATGTCAGGAGCTTTCGTTGGCTTACAAGTGGTGACGGAGAATATGTCGAGGTTTGGGATTTGTTTCTCACAAAGTCGGTTGTATTCATGCACCTTTTAAGAAGAAAAAAAAATTCTACCCTTTCGCAAGAGATGTAATGCGGGACAGTTCTTGTTTTTTTTTTTTTTTTTTTTTTAAATTAGCAACGTAGCTCGGAAATGATGGGTTAGAAAGCTACTGGGTAAAATATTTTGACATGAGTCAGTGAGCGATGTTGACAGCCTCTGTATTATTATTTTCATATAAGCCATCATTTGCATTACATTTCCTTTCTCATGCAGTTGCAAGAGAGAGAGCATCCGGGTGGCAGAGTTGCGACAAGGCATTTGCAGGTGCGGCACTTCCTGCAGGTGTGGCTCCGGAGGGACAGCAATGGCCAACAGGGCCTTGAGCTTAAGGCACCCGTAGATGAAGCAAATAGACCTTTGTTTTTGATTCTAGCCAAGGCTGTTGTTTCAATTTGCAGGGTTACTAATGACTAGAAGGCTATTTCCTCCTTAGGACTCAGCACTATTGACGCCCAAGACATTATTTTTCCCATTTTTTAAAAATTTGCCATTTCATAATATATGCATGTTTATCTTTCCTCTCTTCTTAGAATAGAACACTAACCAGTTGGATAATTTGTAAAAAATTATGGCTGAAAATAAAGATTCCTTCTTTGGAGATAGTGGGGAGTGGGAAGTGTGTTGGGTAACTGTAATCTCATTTGTACATCTAGAAGACTCTGTTGTGTAGATTGTTAAGAACCTCATTGAGAATGTATTCTATGGGAAGGTGTTTAGTAGGAATAAAGAGTCTTGGGGCCGGGGATGTAGCCCAGTAGGTAGTGTGCTACCATGCAGGAAGTCCTGAGTTTGAACACCCAGTGGTTCCTTCATCCCATAAACAGGCATTAGAGCACAAGCCTATAATCCCAGGACTTGGGAGTTGTAGGCAAAAGGATTAGGAGTCAAAGGTTACACAGTGATACAAGGATACACAGTATACTTGGTTACACAGTGAATTTGAGGCCAGCCTGAGCTAATCTCAATAATAATAATAATAATAAAAAGTAAAAGATAAAAAGTATGAAGACTCTTGAACAGTGGCGTAACTATCCTCATGGTCACTATTTGTATTTAAGAGTTGGGCCATTTCAGTAGCTACTACAGTCTGTTGGAGTAATTCTGACATAAAAAAAATGGTTTAGGGGATGTCAGTTGACTTGGAATGTAGGCGGGCAGAGCTGCTCTATACCTGCCATCCTAGCTTACATGATCCCCTCTCTCCAGGGCTGGCTCTGTGAACTGCTTCGCTGGAAGGAGAACCCCAGCCCAGAAAACCGCACCCTGTGGGAGAATCTCTGCACCATCCGCCGCTTCCTGAATCTTCCCCAGCACGAGAGGGACGTGATCTACGAGGAAGAATCAAGACATCACCACAGCGAGCGCATGCAGCACGTGGTCCAGCTCCCACCGGAGCCTGTGCAGGTCCGTGTCTCCCCAGCCCCGGGCTTAGAGAGGCTTTCTGTGGGCAGCAGCTGCCCAGAGTCAGGAGAGCACCTCCAATGACGGCAGGACTGGTACCCTGTCTCTGAGGTCATGAAAAGTGCTGTGTGTGAGCTTCCACCCAGAAAAAAATGACGGGAGATTCAATGCCAATGGGAAAGCTCTCCTGACAGCAGATGCCATGAGCTTAGATTACTCAGATACTAAATATAATGTCCTGATTGATTTTTTAAACTTTTGTTTATTTCTGTATATGCACTTGCATGGGTATACACACGCACACACACACACATTCCATAGCACAAGTTGATCAAAGGACAACTTGCAGAAACCAATTCTTGCCTTACACTATTTGGGACCTGGAGAATCCAACTCCAGTCCTTAGGCTTGTCATCAAATGCCTTTATCCTTTGAGTCTTTGACGTAACAGTTTTTTTTTTTTTCTAAAACAAACAAACAAACAAACAAAAAATTAGGTAAATTTTGGTCTAAAACTCCAGGGAATATTTGATGAGTGGAAAGTGAAGAAACCACCTCCTCACCTGAGGAATTCCTATAGCTTGACTGAGCCCATGAGAAAAATCGTGAGAGATCCTCAGGATTTTAAGATGAGCTTGTGCTGTCTCCAGTTGCAGCTTTCACAAAACTTCCATATTTGGGTAGCATGATTTTTTGGCTTAGTTTTCCAATTTCATTGAAACAAATATTTCTTTTGAAAATAACTGAGTTTAATGGTCTCCTTCTGAATCCAAAGTCAGTTACTTTCAAAACGTATCAACCAGTGTTATTGGTACTAGTTTTACACATAAATTGTTTTGGCCCTGCAGCCCAATAACAGAAATCTTGACTGCTACAAAGGGGATCTTTTAGGACCTCTCTTTGACTTTGCTTCTATGAGGAAGAGAAAAGCAGAGGCAAGAATTCATGTGTGTGCACAGGTGTGTGAAGAATACAATAGAAGATGGTAATGAAGGAAGGATGGTGAGGTATAGTTTATGACACAGATGTAATAGAAGAGATGGTGAAGGGTGTGAAGAAATATCCCCCCAGCTGTGTGTCTCTTCTGTCTTTTGCTTTCATATTCCTGGGGAGTAGCCAGATGTGAAGGGGCCCATCAAACCACATTTTATCAAATATTGGCATCTCAGCCAAAGCTCTCATGCTTTTCTTTGTCATTTTCTTTGTTCCAAACCATGCTGTGACTGGTGGATTCATTCAGGCAGTGTCTTTTAAAGTTCTTGGCGAATCCAGGGCCCCTGGGCAGGAGGGTCATGGTTAATAAACAGCAGAGGCACTCGTTGAGGGAGGCCGAGCCATCGCCCTCATCCTCCTCTCTTGCCCCTGTCATGATCTTTTGCTGGCCAGAGCTTCATCCAACCACTAGGAAACCTCCCTGTGGATAATTAGACCAGTAGTATACTGAACCACAGAGAACAGTGGCTTTCAGACTTTTAATTTCTTCAAATTAAAGAGGGCTCAATATAGTTTACCAGCCCTTTATACATTGATTCGAATACTTCAGAGATGCTCCTGATCATTGGCAGCATCATTTCGTAATATCTCAGGTCAGTACTATGGAATACTAAGCATATCCATAAAGATGCACCAGATAACTGTAGACATTTGACCTTGTGAATAACCATCATGCTTCCTTTTCTCATTTTGCTGTAACCTGGACCAGACTTCTGTTTTAAACCAAGAACACCAAAGACGAAACTCAGAAACCAGTGCCTGACTGCATGCTGCATAGGTGTTTATTCAAGGTCTATCTTAGTCCAGTGCAATAGCAAAGTAATTTTTTTTAAGTTTTAGTCTTCATAGTAGTGGCAGGTGGAACCATTTTAACCAGATGTCAGTGATGGAAGTGGAAACTCATAGGTTTGTGTTTTTGCTATTGTTGTTTGTTTGTTTGTTTGTTTTGGCTTTTGGAAACCGAGTTTCCCTATATAACTCAAATTTGAGATCCTCCTGCTTTAGCCTTCCAGGTGCTGAGATTCTAGGCATGTGTCATCATGCCTAGAAAGACAAATTTGAAGTATCACCATGAAGACCCATTATCTTTTGATAGTAGCTCTCACACCAGACTTGTCTGGACTCCTGTCCAGACATCATCATCTGTGTGGCCCAGTATTTAGCTAGATAGGGAAATATGCAGTTCAATAGTGACACAGTTAACCAGTCTCCGCAAACTAACTCTCAGCCAGGCAGCTGATTCAGTAGTTTGTAAAAGTAACTTTTATTCATCTTTTTCAAATGTCATCTAGGAGGCTTACTGCTTCCATCTGCTAACCTAGGTCTAGTCCTGGAAGCTTCTGGCCTCTGTACAATCTAATGTAGGTCTGGAATGTTTTCAGCCTCTGAGATTTACTGCTGAATAAGCTTGCCATTTGTAGCTCTTTCTGAACTCTGACTGGCTGGTTCGGCTCAACTGTTCTGACTCAAAACTCCTCTGCAAGCTGACTGATTTAAACTGGCCTCTCTCACCTTCTGAGTGAATTGCTCTGCCTGGCCTCATACTAACTTTGACAGTATGTTCTAACCTTCTGGCTCCTTCTCATTCACCTATGTCTAGCTTAGATTCTCTTCACCCTGTCTCTGCAAAGCTCTCCCTGTAAAGCTGCCTCCTCCCTCTCTCTGTACACTACTCTAAGTCCTCCTTTTCCTCTATGTCCCTTGAGAATTGGACATATCCTATTCTGTCAGATCTTTCTCTGATTCCTTTCTTTGTCTGCCACCCAATTGGTTGTCACTCTGAGAACATCTATGCTTTTTTCTATAAACTCATTTTATCTTCATTGTTTGGGATAAAAGGTGAGTTTGAAGGGTGTGTCGGTATTCCAGCCAGAGGGATGAAAGGTGTGTTCTAAGGGCATGTCTGCATTCCAACCACATTGCTGGCTTAAAGTCCCTCTACAGTTGTTCTCTTGTGTTTCATGTCAGACCTAGAGTGTACTAACCAAAGTTAATAAATAAGCAAAATCAGCCTTTGCAATTTTTTATGTTGACTTCCGGAATTACTAAGACAAATCCACACGCTTTCTGGAAGTTTTTTTTCCTATCACACAGCTATTAGCTAAGGAATTACAAACAAGGTAATTTTACAAACAAGGTAATTTCCTTGTTTGTAAATTCCTCCATACTGAATTTGCCCTTGATCTTCCCACTAGTGTAAAACTTGAGCCACCCTGTGAGTGACACTGCTTTGATGAGTTTATGATGTCAGAAAAAATACAAAGCTATGGATTAATTATTTATTACATTCACAATATTAAAAAATGAGGAAAAATAACTGGAAACCGCTGGCAATACTCTTAAAACTGGAGAATGCAGCCTGCACAGCCTCTGTACGTGGTAGAAAACTATTTTGAGGTATACCAAGTTGTGATGACTATGTCTGTAGCTGAGCAGACTGCAGGACACTGGACCTAAGAGTTGGGATTTAACTTGTACCCTCCTTATCACCTTCAAATTTTAAAAGATAGGTGTGCTCACATGTTTTGGGAATTTTAAATTTCATCAGTAAGCTTACTATTGTTTTAGCAATGCTGCATTTTGTCTAATTGGGTAGGAAATATGCCATTACTAAATCATTAAGGATGAACGAAGCTGGTGATGGATAGGAGTTTCTCACATGGACAGTACAGTAAAATACAGAGGGGTCTCCTCTTGGTGGTCATGGAAGAATAGCATTTAATTTCCTTATGTAATTGGGTATACTGTTCTCCACTTTTTGTTAAATGAAGAGGATTGGAGAGTTTCGGGTATAACGACATAGGTTGTTCTGTTGACCTGGGTGCAGTAGGTCCACTGTCTCCATATTTAGGTAGAGTTTTCTGTGGAGGTCCTTCCGATCATAGCACACTGCCTCTTACTAGTTGTTTAGAGACAGAGGTTAAAAGTGGGCCACAGTCTTCTGTGCATTGGGAATGTATTTCTTTTAGGATCATAAAGGTTTTAAAACCTTAAACCCGCAATTAAAAATTGGAAGATTCTATAAAAATCCAGAGAGTCAGAGGATATGGTCCACCAGGTCAGGAAGTCCCACATGGCCAAAGCTACACCATTTCCATGGGCACCCAGGTACCATCATGTCATTCTATCCATATCTGCCACACCCTGTGCATTCATACACACGACTGTTCCCCTTCGTTAATGTAAACTCTGATTCATTATGTCTCTGCCACTGTTTGATCACCTGATCCTGGTAGCCACATTTCCATATCTGAAGCTGCTGTACCAAAGCCATGATGCCTATAATTATTTATTTATTTTTCTACATGCCACTTATTTTTGTTAGTTCTTTGAGAATATCACACAATATGTTCTGATGGGTATAACTTAACCCTTGCTGGGTGATAAGCATATTTTTGATGGAATTTCCCATCAGAGATGAATCAAGGTTACAGTTAAGACTGTACTGAGCTTAGGGCCATGAAGAAATGTTGTCAGCTCCAGACTTATTCATGATGGAAGGACAATGTGCCTCTTCCTTGGAACTCATATTTTCCCAGGGAACATGTAATCTTCAGTCATATCGAGTTATATGGATTTATTAGGTTTCTTGTGGGTATTCTAAGTCTCTTTAGAAACACATTCTAAGTCTCTTTAGCCAGTTAAGCTAGCTGAGTAGAGCTGGCTTTAACTCTGAACACACTTTCTAAAGCCATATACAGCCCATGTGCACAGTAAGAGGTATATTGTCCCAAGGGACAAAAGACAGCAAGCATATCTCTGGCATTAAAATTTTATGGAGAGGGGAGAAGTTTTAGGAAAATATGTTTTAGCAAATGGAAATCCTTAACTTAAAATTTTAAAAAAATGATATATTCATATATTAGTACCAACTACACTTCACAATTGAAAAAACTGGAAAAACCATTGAGTCTTGACTGAAGCCAGGATCACTGGCCTAATAAAAACACATGCTGGAATCCTTATGGAAAAAGAGGGAGATAGAAAGACCTGGAGGGGACAGGAACTCT